GTGAATATCTGATCTATACAACCACGTCCAGGTCGAAAACCAGCCTGGTTTTCTCTAGTCTGCATTTCACGAGCTTTGGTTAGACGTCGAAGTATTATTGAAGCTAATATTTTAGACACTATATTAGTCAAACTAATTCCTCTGTGATTGTCACAAGAAGACTTTTGTCCTTTCTTATAAACTGGCACGATCAGTGATTGAGACCAGTCAGATGGGATTATGTCCAGTTCCCAGATTCTACCTAAGACCTCAGTCAATCTCGCTGCCATTACTGGACCGCCATCCTTAAAAATCTCAGGAGTAAACCTGTCAGGGCCTGCTGCTCTCCCACACTTCAGATTTCCTATAGCTTTTGCAACTTCGTAAAGAGTCGGAGTATTCACATTAACTTGCCATTCAGGTAGATTGAAGATCGTAGGAAACCGAAGTGTGGCTGAAGGCCAGTTGAACTAATCCCTAAAGTATTCTGCCCATCGATCCAATCTCCTGGATTGAGAATGAATAATATGTCCATCTTTCTCTGCGATTGTTTCGTTAACAGTTGGGTTCCTAATACCGGTTTCCTTAACAAGTCTGAACAGTTGCCTGTTGTTACCTATTGCCGCTGCCTTTTCCATCTCTCTTGCTTTCGCTACCCACCACTGTTCACGATCTTTGCGTAGGCTTCTAGTCAGCTTACGCTTAAGCTGACTCCGCTCTTCGTTATGTTCAGAGCCAGATGGAATGAGTTTTCGAGCATCTATCAGTGCGGTAGATGCTGCTGAAATCCAGTGTTTCTCCCTAACCTTATGATTTACCGTACTTGAAGACATCACTGCTGTTTCTACAGCTTTTCGAATGTCATTCCACGCTACCTCAGGGTGGGCATCAGTTACATAGCTGTCTAACTGTTTTTCTAGTTATTCCTGAAGTGTACTCTTAGCTTGGCTATCATTAAGTAGGACCCTAATGAGTTTCCTTGCACGATCTTTCCTACGTCCAGTAAGACGTAGACAAATACGCGCTCGCACTAGAGCATGATCTGAGTCTGAGCATGTGCTCCAGAATGAGCGACAGTCTTCTATCGAGCCCCTCCATCGGTGGCTGATAGCGATGTGATCTATTTGGGTCCAGCGTTGGGACGAATTAAGGGGTCTCCATGTTAAAAGATGTTTTTCCTTATGCTTAAAGTTAGTATTTGCAAGAAACAGGCGGTTATCTGAGCATAGCTGCAACAGACGGTCGCCGTTATCTGTTCTTTGAACAGCGACACCATAAGATCCACCCAGGTGTCTTTCCTTTTCGCTTAGTTTACCTACTTGAGCATTAAAGTCACCAGCCACTATTACTACGTCTGAACGCCTTACTTTTCGGAGAAGGTCAGAAAGCTTTCTGTAAAACTCATCTTTTACATTATCTGAGCTGCAGTCAGTGGGAGAGTAGGCAGAGACGACGAAGAGGCAACGACGAGTGTCCCTATCTTTCCGAGTCCTTACTGTTCCGTTTAGTCGGACAGCGCACAAACGACTGTCTACTGGGATCCAGTCTAAGAGAGCTAGTTCCACCCTAGGACTCAATGCTATACCTACGCCAGCGAGGCCACAGGAAGCAGCATCAGGGCTTCCAGATACACGAAGCGTAAATCGAGTTGGTTCGTTACTTTGACATGGTGAGGTCAAATGAATGACACTACTCGGATCCTGTATGCGCGTTTCGGAAACGCAGCACACATCGATGGAGCGAGATTCTAAAGTCCTAGCTAAGGAAGCCTGTTGTCCTATTTGGCACAGTGTTCGGACGTTGAAAGCTCCTATGTGTAGTTTAGAGCGTGGTTTCAGGAGACCAGGAATAACATTCCGCGTACTCGAATCGTTTGCACTAGTGGGGCGAGGTGATAAAGGGACGTAAGAAGGGGTAGTCGTAGAGATAAGAGAGTTATTAGGAGGTGTAGGAAGTATTTGCATGTGACCAACGTGGTCTCGTGTGCTGTTACGGGTATGAGGGCTGATGTCACTTCCCGGCTGCCCACACCGTGGAAGGGTATTTCTTGAGGAACCTGAAAAGAAAATCGGATTAGCGTTGGTCTTAACGACCTGGGTGCGTGACTGCAGAGCCCAAGGAACAACTGCTTGAGGCCGGTCGCGCACTGTCTTTTTGTGGGAGGTTTTTAATGTGTTAGCTCCGTTCTTCAAAAGACCTTACCACCGGAGACGGAAATCCGTTGGGTAAGGTGAGGTGCGACATTTTTAGGGTCAACCTTTTCTAACCCCTTCCTTCCTTGTGAGAAGGCAGCATCGCTGTAGATGCTGGTTGTCCGAGGGAAACACCTTACTGCTGTCACACCTCTGTACAGTCAGCAGTACGACTTCGCCCTCAGACCTTGAGTTGCTGCTTTTAGTCTTACCGTTCTCGAATCGACCTGTCTGGCATGGTAGAACCTGCAGGAACATGTGTTCCAGCCAATATAGCTCGGTTGGGTCATCACGATAGGTAAGTCCGACCACCACGTCAAGGTAGCAGCTACGGTTGGGATTCCACTGGTTATTTCTTTTCGTAACGCCTGTTCCAGTATTGAGAATCAAAATAATCTTGTGAATTCTGTAATGGAAGGGACAAAAAAAGTCAAAACGATATCTAAATAAGTTTTTTTTATGCTAGCTACGTGAAGCGTTACTTACGGTTATGTTCGTTAACACTGAAGACTGTACCCGTAGAACAGTAAAGAATAGTTACCACTTTAAATTAATGCATACATGTCCTTGTTTTCTTCGATGACGCTTTTGTAATTTGTCTCTCATGTCGTGAAAATAATCTTGCGCAGCGATGTCCTAGTTTCGCAAAATGTTTTTCGTTATAGTGAAAATTCCCATTTTCGTTGACAGATGGTGACAAGGGCCGACTAGTTAATGCACATGAAGTTTAAAAAGCATATACTACTTCGTATGCATCCGTAAAACCTTCACTTCTGAAGTTCTCTTTTCGATAAAGTGCCAAGTAGCGTGGAATGACTGGCAACTTCAGGTGTCATGATGTATGACAAAATATATCGCATTGACGTTTTGGGATTGTCATCAATTAACCGCATCAACATGCCCATCTGTAATAAAAACATGATCAAATTAATTTTGTCGACTTAATCTGTCCCTTATGTCTTCCTCCTGAAGACAAGCGTCCAACGTCCACAGTTGCTCTTCAGATGATAACGGGAACTGCCGACTTGACAGTCCGCAATCGAATTTTCGCGGATGTTCACGCCCATCAGACTTCGGCAGTAGCTGCTTCATATTAGTTTCAAGTTAAAAATTCCGGACGATATGTTCTTCAGTACAATATAGTCTATCAAATCTCAAAAATTTGACTCAATCGGACATGTGACCTACTCGGCCGCTAACGCACTGCCTACACGCCTAAACTCGAACGTTAATGGCGACGTATCCAACTGTGTCGATCTAGTTAATTAACATCTTAAAATCAAACAAGCCCACTTGGCGATCGGCGAGACAACACTGTCGAACAACCGAAGCTTGGGATATTGGACATGGCTATTTCCAGCCTGAATCTCCGCCACATCCATCTCAACGGAATAGTAAAGAAACCCTTCTTTACATATCATTGCACCTCTACAAAATATTAATAAGATTATTGTACTGACCTCTTCGGCTTCTCATTTATTTATTTTAACACATAAGTATAGGTACAGAGAGGCACCAAGTACATATGCGCCACACGAATCTCAATTGATTTGTGTGTTTTCGTCCATAGAACTGTTGGTGCGACAAACGTCTAATTTTTTGAAGGAAACCAACAACTCCTTTGCAGCCTGAAGGCTATCTATAGCAAATAGTCGTTTCTATGTTTGTAACTCACCTCATTTGTGAATGACCTTACACTTCAGGACTGGCCAATTTTCATCTGGTTGGTCACTGTTTTGCAGGTGCATATCAACAAGCCCCGTTGATAGTGACAATCCACTGTTTAGCTGCAGTCATAAGCTGCCTCTTGCTTGGTGCGTCTACAATTATGTATTGTTTGTTAGCCGGCTAAATAGGACATAAGAGGTAGGGAAATGGTTTATGGTAATACCATCAGCAAAAATGAAACACAATACATCCACATAAACGTATATCGCAATGGAACAACCACTAACTAATTGACACAATTAAGGGCAATACATTTACAGTCAATATCCTTGACGGAAACCCATGTGTGCTCATGACTAACTACCGAGCACATAAATATTCCTATGTCACTAGAATGAAAAGGATCTTCGAAGTAGTTGCGTGGGTCTGTGAATGACCTAAATTTCATTAATCCATTCTCCCCTACATCGGTGACCAGATCAGGTTTTTTCGTGTACTAGTACCACATTATCCGGCTTAAATGAAGTTATTTTAATATTCTTAAGCGTCATTACTTGTTTGTGTGAGTTTACCGGTTATTTGTGTACTTTCAGTCGAAATGCTAGCTTGAATCCTATCACGGAAAGACATCTCAACATAACGCTGAACTGCTTGCTTGGCTACAGCATGCCCGCTATGCATTGATTTCTTAATTTCTCGAATGGGAATGCTGAAAAACAATCTCTAGGTTCATGTGCACGAATAAATAATAAACAAATTCTAGTTTAGGTGTATAGTGTTAATACCGTATAGAGCATATCGAACCAATGGAATAATCACTGTCTTACTGTCTCATGGGCTCTATGATTTCACATGCGTACCCTCAAATATATCAAGAGATCAGTTATACAATTTAGTACTGATAATTCACAAACAGTGCTCTCAAAAAATATTTGTTTTTATTGTATAGGTCCAGCGTAAGTGATCAATTACTTATCAAGCAATTTTTGATATACTAGGAGTATTATATTTTTGCAGTTGATGTCAGCACTTAATAGGTACGTTTTACCATCCTTCTTTCAGGTACCGATACTTGCAAATAAAATTTGATGCAATGAATCCTTATCCCCAAAACATCTGGTGAATTTTGAATTTCTGGACAGCACCATTCCATTTGTCAAAATGGATCTTGTTTACAAGCTTTACAAAAATCAGGAAACCTCATATCTTCCACGTAAAATTCTCCAATCCCTAACATACTCTTTCATGGGGTTAGCTTCAAAGATAGCCTTGTCACGTCATCAACTAAACGTTGTCGGTTCGGAACGCCTTTTATTGGCCATTGATAAAAGACCTAGTAATCAGCCTTTGATTACAGTCAGCAATCACCATTCGTGTCTTGACGATTTTTTCTTGTGTGGTTCATTGCTTAAACTTAGGCATTTTGCTAACGGTATGTTGTATCACGACATTCAAGCATTATGAAAATATTTAGTAACCGTATGTCGTTGGTGCTTGACAGCTGTAGATATATGTTATACAACTTCGTTTCATACCAACTTCTTCTTCTGGTTCAGAGGAGTTCCCATATGGCGAAGAGTTCGTGATCCGCTATCTGGTAAAATAACTCACTTTGGTGGGGGGGTTTATCAACCTAGTATGGATTTTTGCATAGATTTACTAAATTCTGGCCAATGGGTACATGTATTTTCCCAGGTTTGTAAACGTGATCAAGTGTGAAATATTTGGTCATTAATATTTGCGATTCCACATTTGCGAGTTTAGTCGTTCTTAAAGTAGTTGTTTTTTTTTCAGTTCATGTTGTACTAATTATATTCTTGCCAAAATTAATGATTTCACTTTATTTCTAGCACAATTTCTTACAAATCTTTGCTTGATTTCATTTTCCAACTATTTTACATCATTTTTATTTCCTCCCTCCCTTCCTAACCGTAGTAGTGTAGATTGTGATATTGTTCAGAATAGTTCCTAATGGTCAAGGTTCATTCACTTTTTATCCTCCTCTCGATCTTGAATCCAATTACTCCATACTTACCCTTCCACTGTTTTTACGAACTACGTTTTAAATGTTCAACTGTCCTCATTATCGCTGTTACTACATTTTTTCGGTCTCTTGTGTAGTTGATTATCTAGATTTCATCTTGTATGGTATGTCAAGTGGTGCCAAAACACCTCTATCCGGCTCTATGTTGATAATGATTGGGTAATTTAACAATCTTCCTGTTTTAATCAATAAATGTTTAGGAAAAATATCATTTTACGTACATTTTTAAGCAATGTGAAAGTATGATGAAAACGTGACTTAATGGTTCGTTATGATTAGTTTAGCAAGAGGTATTGTCCATCAAGGTTACTACCATATAATAGCACGCTTTAAAATATTGAGTAAAAAAGTTTCTACCTCACTGACCAGTGACCTGAAGTATTGATTTCTGCTTGAGGACCTTCCTGTCACTCCACTTTAGAACATAGCAATCTTACTATCTTCAGGTATTTGAAAATGTTGTGTAGCACTGACTTCGTTGGATGCTTCTTATACTAAGCTGTGATACTCAAAATTGTCTAAACCAACTAAGTCAGAGTGTTTATGACTTCCACCGTTTGGACCTAAGGAATAATTTCCACAAAAATTCACTAGTTAGTCTATATTCGATTTTTTATGTGATCATCTAGAATAAGTGCCATTTATCTTTTGTTGTTGCGAACAAAACATTTGCTATGAAATTATCAGTTTGTTAAGTCCCTTTTAAAATAAATCTTTGCTTTATAAGGTCGGCAAATGTAGATATATTAATGAGTGAAACTTTAATCATCATTATAATTGTTATACTTTAGGGGAGAATTATTCAACCTCACGAACGTGGTTCTGAAAAAAATATTCGCCTGCGTTGGGGAATCGGACGATTGATAGCAGAATCAAAAGAAGTAAGCTTTCGTAAGTCCTAGGTTTATAGTCTCACCTCACATACATTTTGCTAGTTCGAAAGCAGTTTCTATAAAGTTTTTATGTCAGCATGGATTGTCAAAACTCCGCCTGTAACTCTTCCAGAGTTACTGCCGGTCCCAAGCCCGGGTAAAGGAGGAGGGTTGGGCATGGGGTTAGCGTCCCCATCCCGTAGAAACCTAACTCGCTAAAAAAAAACGCTAACCAGAAAAAAATAACTCAAACCATTTAAACTCTGCCCTGGGAGTTAGAGGTAATATGACGCTTCATGGTGAAAGCCGAGTTCCTTCGGAAGCCACGAGGCCGATGCCCCTTCTAACAACCAGAGCAACAATTTTTATAGGTACATGGAACGTCCGGACAATGTGGGAGACCGGGAAGACCAGTCAAATAGCAACGGAAATGAGGAGATACAACTTGGCAGTACTGGGAATCAGTGAAACCCATTGGACCCAAGCTGGACAACAAAGGCTAAATACGGGAGAGATGCTGCTATACTCCGGTCACGAAGAGGAAAATGCTCCACACACTCAGGGAGTTGCTCTAATGCTATCCAAAGTAGCACGAAATGCACTTGTAGGATGGGAATCTCACGGATCCAGAATCATCAAGCATCATTCAAAACAAAGAAGGAGGGTATCACAATGAACATTATCCAATGTTATGCACCCACCAATGATAGCAACGACGACGTTAAGGATCAATTCTATGAGAGGCTGCAATCAATCATAGAGAAGTGCCCAAGAAAGGACCTCACCATTCTGATGGGAGATCTAAACGCCAAAGTCGGAATGGACAACACCGGATATGAAGACATCATGGGACTGCATGGACTGGGAGAGAGAAACGAAAACGGGGAAAGATTTGCAAATCTGTGTGCATTCAATAAATTGGTCATAGGCGGTACAACATTTCCACACAAACGTATACACAAAGCTACGTGGATCTCACCGGACCACACCACAGAGAACCAGATAGATCACATTTGCATCAATAAAAAGTTCCGAAGGACAATGGAAGATGTGAAAACCAGGAGAGGAGCGGACATAGCTTCAGATCATCACCTAGTTGTGGCCAAATTGAAACTGAAGCTAAAGAAGAACTGGACAACTGGACAAACAGCACCACAAAGGTTCAATACAGCCTTCCTTCGAGATACTGACAAACTCAATGAATTCAAGGTAGCTCTCAACAACAGGTTCCAAGCCTTACAGGATCTACTGAAGGAAGAAGAAACTACTATGGAGGATAGCTGGAAAGGTATCAAAGAAACTTCAACGTGTCAAGAGGTTCTGGGCCCCAAGAAGCATCATCACAAGGAATGGATCTCTACAGAAACACTGGACAGGATCAAAGAAAGAAAGAACAAGAAGACAGCAATTAACAACAGTCGAACAAGAGCAGAGAAAGTCCAAGCACAAGCTGAGTACATAGAAGCAAACAAGAAAGTGAAGAAGAGCATTAGAGCCGACAAGCAAAAATATGTGGAAGAACTAGCAACGACGGCGGAAAAAGCTGCAAGAGAAGGAAATATGAGACAGCTTTACGATACGACGAAGAAGCTTGCAGGGAAATACAGTAAACCAGAGAGACCAGTCAAAGACAAAGAAGGAAGACCAATTACTGAGATTCAACAACAGCGCAACAGATGGGCAGAGTACTTCGAGGAACTCCTGAACAGACCGGCTCCAATGAATCCACCGGACATCGAAGCAGCACACACAGATCTTCCTATAAATGTCAATCCACCAACGACAGAAGAAATCAGAATGGCCGTCAGACAAATCAAGAGCGGGAAAGCAGCAGGACCTGACAATATACCAGCTGAAGCGTTGAAGTCAGACATCGAAGTAACTACAAGCATGCTTCATCTTCTATTCAAGAAGATTTGGGAGGAGGAACAAGTGCCGATGGATTGGAAAGAAGGACACCTCATCAAGATTCCAAAGAAAGGAGATCTGAGCAAGTGTGAAAACTACAGAGGCATTACACTACTGTCAATACCAGGTAAAGTCTTCAACAGAGTGTTACTGAACAGGATGAAAGACGCAGTAGACGCTCAACTTCGAGATCAACAAGCTGGATTCCGTAAGGACCGGTCGTGCACAGACCAGATTGCGACACTACGGATCATTGTCGAACAATCAATTGAGTGGAACTCGTCACTCTACATCAACTTCATTGATAATGAGAAGGCATTTGACAGTGTAGATAGGAGAACGTTATGGAAACTTCTTCGACACTACGGAGTTCCTGAGAAGATTGTCAACATTATCAGGAACTCATACGATGGACTACAGTGCAAAGTAGTGCATGGAGGACAGCTGAGAGATGCGTTCCAAGTGAGGACCGGAGTAAGACAAGGCTGCCTACTCTCTCCCTTCCTCAGTCTCCTGGTGGTCGACTGGATTATGAAGACCTCGACATCTGAGGGAAAACACGGCATACGATGGACAGCTCAGAACCAATTAGACGACTTGGACTTCGAAGATGACCTAGCCCTCCTATCACATACACATGAACAAATGCAGATAAAGACAGCCAGAGTAGCAGCAGTCTCTGCATCAGTAGGCCTCAACATACACAAAGGGAAAACCAAGGTCCTCAAACACAACACGGAGAACAGCAATCCAATCACTCTTGATGGCGAAACTCTGGAAGACGTGGAATCCTTCACATACCTGGGAAGCATCGTCGATAAACAAGGAGGTTCAGATGCAGACGTCAAGGCGAGGATTGGCAAAGCTAGAGCGGCATTTCTTCAACTGAAGAAGATATGGAACTCAAAACAACTTTCAACCAATATCAAAGTCAGAATCTTTAATACGAACGTCAAGGCAGTTCTACTGTACGGAGCTGAAACTTGGAGAACTACAACAACCACCATCAAGAAGGTACAGGTATTTATTAATAGCTGTCTACGCATGATACTCAACATCCATTGGCCGGATACCATCAGCAACAGCCTTTTGTGGGAGATAACCAACCAGCTTCCAGCTGAAGAGGAAATTAGGAAAAGACGATGGAAATGGATAGGACACACATTGAGGAAATAATCAAACTGCATTACGAGACAAGCGCTAACTTGGAATCCTGAAGGGAAGCGGAAAAGAGGAAGGCCAAAGAACACATTACGTCGGGAAATAGAAGCAGATATGAAAAAGATGAATAAGAACTGGAAAGAGCTTGAAAGGATTGCCCAGGACAGGGTTGGATGGAGAATGCTGGTGAGCGGCCTATGCTCCTTCACGAGGAGTAACAGGCGTAAGTAAGTAAGTAATGGATTGTCAAAATATTTCATAAATATTGGTAGTTAGGAAAATAACAGCCGTTTGATATCTATCATATCTTCAGATATCAGCGCATTTAAAACGAATTTTATGTAGATTAGCTATAAAATATTTGAGGTTAGGAGTTTTAGTAGCATAATACTTATGATTGTGTTATTTGTTATGAAATAGATTCGGATTAGAGCATGAAATAAGATGCAATATGTGTACGTTCTAATAAAGATGTACAACTCATTGGTGTGAGAATAAGTGTGTTAGCATTTATGTTAATTATTTGCAATCGCGAAATGAAATTTCGGTCAGAATGAAAAGAAAGAAACTAAATTGATGTAAAAGTCATCAGGAACATGGTTGTTTTAATTTATCTGCAAAATACTTCTCAGAAATGTTAGAAGAAAATACCAATTCGAAGTAGTCAAATAAAAGTTTATTGCTTCAGATAACATCAAGTTTTAGACAAAAATGACAATAGTAGTTTCCAATATTGTTTACCTTTTATTTATTAGTCTTTTAGTAACATCTAATCAGGTTTCTACAGAACCTTACTTCGTTTTCACACCTCATTTCTTGTAAACGGAGCATTATTGTAGATCTTTTTAGGGAACACTGAATAATCCTGACATTTATTTCATACTCCACTTTTTTTATTTAGCCTTAAGTTCAAGGTGGTTTCACAATTCCTCTCAGTTTTCTGTTTTCAGCTAGCATTACTTATTTGTGCAAAAATCAACTTTCTTACATTTTGAATTCTGATTTATCTATAGCACAATATAACCATAGTACTTGTCGTTTGTATCACTTTTACTACCGAAAAATCGTCTTAGGTAATTAGTTACATCAAACGTGAACAACTTGTTCTGTCTCTGTTACGAGAAAAAAGCTTGTTTAATTAGTTCTCAGCAGCTATTAATCTACTAGTTAATGCGTATACTGCATTGATATCTAAATATATCCCTATATCAGTCAGCCATAAACAATGTAGGACTTCAAATGTCTCTGGACTGTCTTTCAGAAAATACTACTCTTTATCGTTCTGTTTCTCTCTGAACCAACTGTCAAACAAATTTCCTTTTGTAACCATCGGATTCAACTTTCCTAGATAAATGTAATTCTATCCTGTTTAAACCCCCAAATGCCCTGGTATGGCCGAGACTGGGGTGGGTTCGCCCTCCTTCTCTAAATACTCTCACACGACCACGCGTATACAGCCTCTGCCAGGGAAGTCCTACTCACTGCCTTTTCGTGGCGGGGGTGTTGTTTACGAAAATGAGAGGACGAAAAGCGAATGTCCGGTGCTTTGACCGGATCCCAAATCAATTGTACACATGGGCTCCAGTATCCTGCGGGAACAAATGGCGTATGAACCAATTTCTTGGTCGCCGGCTTCCATGGGACTGCATCTCCTTACGATGCTCCATTGCCTTGTGGGTTAGACCTTCAGGTCAAAGGCTCGGGGTGTGGTCCCCTAAGAAAACCACCTGCTTCGGTCTGGGCACCCGTGCAGTATCTCAGCCCACACACAAAAACATGATGAACAGTCTACTTATGGAAAATATTCTTTTCGCTCCGATTAAAAATCAGATAACTCGCATTATTATTATCATTATTGTTATTATTATTATTATTTACTACGTCATTTATTCACTCCCTTTTATTCCTACTCTATCCTTATTTTTCGACTTATACAGCAGCTCGCCTATGGTGGACATTCGGCTCTATCTAAACTTTCTCGAGTCACTGCTTGGTTAAAAATTGTATGTTACCACCGAACATGAGTACTGAAGCAGTTTTTCTGAAACCGCGTGCACCATTCAAACTGGCTACCTTCAACGTTCGCACACTTATGCAGGTCGGACAACAGATGGGGCTGACTATGTCTTTGGAAAGTCTTAATATTGATGTGTGTTGTCTATCCGAGACCCGTATTCAAGACTCTGGTGAAGTACTACAAGTTCGCTCTCCATCTGTCACTTCAAAAAGCTTGTTTTATGTGCGTTTATCCGGGGACCCTGTGGCATCTTCGTCTGGTCTTGCTGGCGTTGGTGTCGCGCTAAGCGCAAGAGCTGAGGCAGCACTAGTCGACTGGATCCCCATTAACAGTCGGTTATGTGCTGTAAGATTAGAAAGTTCCATCAAAGTGAGAAGAAATCGGCGTGAGAAACGATGTCTTTTCGTCATCTCCGCCTATGCCCAGACAGATTGCAGCCCGGATGCGATCAAGGATGAATTCTACCACCAGTTATCTGTTCTTCTTCAGAAAGTGCGTTCGACAGATATTGTAGTACTAGCCGGAGACTTGAATGCTCAAGTCGGGCGTCTAGGCACAGAAGAGAGTCGTTTAGGTGGCCGATGGAGACTTGTTGGTCTCAGGACAGATAACGGGGAACATCTACTGAATCTATGCACAGACCACAACCTTTGCCATCGACGACATTCTGGAAACAGCTCTGGTGGATGTAAGTAATGGTGGTGTTGATTTGTTGCCTGGAGAAAGACTTCTCGAACTTGAGTATGCGGATGATATTGTCTTACTGTGCGAGAATGCCCAAGCCATGCAATCCGCACTTAATCAGTTGGCAATCAGTGTCCGTAGGTATGGTATGTGCTTTGCACCTTCGAAGTTCAAAGTTCTTCTACAAGACTGGCAGGATTCTAATCCTGTACTCACTCTGGATGATGAGCAGATAGAAGTAGTCGAGAAGTTCGTGTATCTAGGTAGCTGCATAAGTGCTGGTGGTGGTGTGAGTGATGAGATCAATGCACGTATAGTGAAAGCCAGAGCGGCTTATGCCAATCTGGGCCATCTTTGGCGCCTTCGTGATGCTAGTCTGGCTGTAAAAGGTCGGATCTACAACGCGACGGTGAGAGCAGTTCTGCTCTATGCTTGTGAAACCTGGCCTCTCCGAGTTGAAGATGTTAGACGACTCTCTGTGTTCGATCATCGCTGTCTCCGAAGGATTGCTGGCATCCAGTGGCAACACCATGTCAGTAATGCAGAGGTTCGGCATCGTGTGTTCGGGCACAGAGACGATAATGCAATTGGTGTCACCATCTTGAAACACCGACTTCGGTGGCTTGGACATGTTCTACGAATGTCGTCCCAGAGAATTCCACGTCGTGCATTATTTGCCGACTCTGGGACTGGTTGGAAAAAGCGGAGAGGTGGTCAGTATATGACATGGTGTCGTGGTATGAAAGAAAGCTGCAAAGGACTGGCTTCTGTTGGTCCTTCACGAATCCCTGGTTGGGGTCCGAGAGATTGTGCAACACAGTGGCTAGAGACTTTATCAGATGTTGTTATTATTATTATTATTTTAACACATAGATATTGGTACAAGGAGGCACCAAATACATATGCGCCACACAGATCACATTTGATATATGTGAGGGCTATGATACTGCCCGGGTGCCCAGACCAAAGCAGGTGGTTTTCTTAAGGGGCCACTACCCGGAGCCTTCGACCTAAAAATCTAACCCACAAGGCAGTGGATCAGATTTGGCTCAGAATAGAAGCCAGTGGCGATCCTGTTGTAACCTTCTTTTACTTTCTTCGTAAAGAGTGGTTGCTTCTTCCTTAACTGAAAAATTTCTGATTGTACCTTTTCGTTTCCCCCATTATTACTACTATTACACTAACTTGCACTAATCTGTTCGTTATTGTTCTTTTTTTACGCTCCTTACCCTCCTTTCTTTTTTTCTTCCCTTCTCTTTAAATTCTCATTGTTTTGTGTGGCCTATATATATTTGTTGCCCACTTGTACCAATATTTATGTGTTCAAATATTAATAAATAATAATAATCCTGTTTAAATATCTAAAAAAACGTCTTATCAAAATAAAGATGTGACATCTACACACCCCAACCATATCCTTAGTAAACTGATGCATCCTAGCATTTATCCATATGTATCTGTTTTTGATCTAATAGACTTCTTATTAATGTGTTGACTAAAGTTAATCTGACGCACATAAGCTCATACCATTTAAAAACTTGATTACAGACTATCTAAGCCACCTTATGTAATGAAAGTGCGTCAGTCATAAGTTGATTGAATAAATAGTTTTCTTAAACGTCAACATATTCTTTCTTCTTCCCTCAGGATCCACTTGTAATTCCTGTTTGGCATTGCGGTCTAGATCAACTAAATCCTTCTGAGGTTCCGAATACGTCTACTACGCTGTCATGTATATTTGGAAAACCACGTCAATTGACTGTTGTAGTAGGTAAACCAATCGATACCCATGGTTTGCGCCAAGAATTAAAGAATAATTCATCTGAATATTTGGCGTCATCAGAATTTCGTTCACATATTCACTCTATGTATACTCAGGCTATCCAAGAACAGCTATACAAACTCAAAGAAGAGACCGAATGTAAACATCAAAGACTAAATCTGATCTAAAAATTGTGAATAGCTTTATTAGAAGTTTACTTTTTTACCTTATATTTTTAGAATTGTCATAATAAATAAAAGTTCTTCCTACGTGCTTTCGCGTCCTGATTGGCACATGTTCACTTAAACCTACCGACCTTTGCGGACTAGACAACTCGTTTTTCGTCCGATTATATCGTTTCATTAAAAATCTTGTATTCGGTAAACCAATTTCGCCACACCCTATCTATTTAGATAGATAATTAAGTAAGCTAGTTTTTTTTAGTTGTCTTTTTTATCACCAGAAGATCTAGGAATAAGAATTGTGATAACAGTCTTTTTGCTACAGGCTGAAGTACTTCGCGTTTCATATTTGTTTGTTCATTGGACTCGTTTACAGTTTCTATCAAGTTATACACTTATAAATAAAATGAAAACTGGCCGGGATGTCTCCATACTGTTGACGTAAATTTCTGGTTCTTTAGTTAAGTAGACTATCTTATCAGCGCCTTTTGGAACTTATTTGCGAAAAAGCCGTTTTCCTTGTGATATACTTGGCTTTTTTGGATCTTGATTCAATTACACGTCCTTGCGCTTTAATGGATTCAGACTTGAAACGTTTAGCTCAGCCAAAAAATTGTAGGTGCGTATTATGATGAGTTCCATAAGAAATTTCCTACCCTTTAAAGAGAAGTGTGCTTTTCGTATGAAGCGTATTAGGTGCATAATGTATATTTTTATATTTTATGCTTGCAATCTTCCAAGGATATTATTAGTCACAAATTGGCTTCTTCAGAGTTATCAACGTCGTAGAGTATCACTGTAATTGTAGGCATACCTTGCCGACTAGTCCGGGGTGTATTCTCTTCAATCACTCAATACTGATTATCAGTACTTCAACTTGTCCATCTTGTTTTAACAGCCATCATTTTTGTCTTTTTCTGTGTAGTTTACTTGTAAATTAGATGTCAAAATAATCCTCTCGTTAACTTTCTTGCCTATCTATCTCTTGGTTAGGCAGTGCCAATTAACTTTTATTAGCCACAATTTTATCTCAGAATTTAGTTTTCGAAAACCTCATTGGACCTAAAATCCACAGTAGCATAAGTCTCCCACTATAAACAATCTATTCTGTAGTGCTTTTAACAGACTAGATTAGCTCTATTGTGTTACATTAATTTGTCTTAAGTGTGAATATTGAAATGGTTGTGATAATGTATTTTGATACGTCTCTTAAAGCGAGTAGGAACTGAAGTAGAACAGTTATTTAAAAATCGATCTTGGCAAGTAGTCTTCAGTGTTTCTGGGTGAGCTTCTCGTCATTTTATTATCTCAAGTAGACTTGACCATTTGAAACAACATGAAATAGCTGATATGACGGGATTCAAAAGCAAAGTTATATTCCGTTACTCATTGTGATTTTTGTTCAACATTACTGCAGTTTTAATTCAATGTGATGGTTACCCAGTGTAGTATTTGTTTCGTTTTCCAATATATTATATTCAGCATAACATTAAGTTATTTAAGTGTGGCGTTTGTTCAAGATACGGTATTCTTGTATTAAATTAACGTGAACTATGCCCAGCACGACTTGCAGCATGTGACTTGTTACAACTCTAGGTATTTTTCATATATGTGATTTCCTTCTAACTAATAATCAACATGTGTGTACAATTAATATATGAGTGTATTTTTGAATAGGGTCGTCTTCGTGTTTTGGAGTTAATAAATACTCACTTGTACCAGTCTTGATCTTACTTCGCGCCGATGGAATTGCAGTGGTTCCTCGTTGTTCCAAGTATGAGAACAAGAGATTCAGGCATAGCGATCATCGATGGCCAGTCATAACATGAGCCATTTGCAAATTAACATGCAGCAAGTTTTATCACCATTTTTAGTTTAAATCATTTTGTATATGCTCTCGTGAATATATCTTTCGTCAGTCAGTTACAACGTAGGGCCAGACACATATGCATCGGTCCAAGTTGCCATACCTCATTAGCACAACAAGATGAACACCGGATTCATAGTAGTTACTTCAGTGGTAGCCCCCCTGGTACAGCCGAGAGTGGGGTGGGTTCGCCCTCCCTCTCTAAATACTCTCACACGACCACGCGTATACAGCCTCTGCCAGGGAAGTCTCACTCACTGCCTTTTCGTGGCGGGGGTGTTGTTTACGAAAATGAGAGGACGAAAAGCGAATGTCCGGTGCTTTGACCGGATCCCAAATCAATTGTACACATGGGCTCCAGTATCCTGCAGGAACAAATGGCGTATGAACCAACTTTTGGTCACCGGCTTCCATGGGACTGCATCTCCTCACGATGCTCCAATGCCTTGTGGATCAGGTCTTCAGGTCAAAGGCTCGGGGTGTGGCCCCTAAGAAAACCACCTGCTTCGATTTGGGCACCCGGGCAGTATCACAGCCCTTACACATATCAAATGAGATCTGTGTGGCGCATATGTATTTGGTGCCTCCTTGTACCAATATTTATGTGTTAAAATAAAATAAATAATATGTAACAGAAAGATTGCATATAAGGATATAGTACAGGAAGAAAGAACCGGTTGGTAGAAAGAAAGATATATAGCAATTTTAATCTCACAGTTTAAAGGAAGACAAGGTGTGTATACACCTACGCCATTGTGATCGATTCTGAGCCATGTCACTAAGAGTCTCTAACCATTGGTTACGATAGTCACGCGGATCCCAACCAGGTAGTCTGCATCTACCAACATGGCTCAGACCAGAAGTTAGTGTCTTCAAGCACTGATGCCACGTTTTGGTTTGGTCACCCCTCACTTTGTTCCGACCATCCATAACATCAGTCAACATTGCGCGTCGTGGTAGTCAGTGTTCAGGCATACGTGACCCAACCATTTCAGTCGATGAAGATTTACAATCCATCAACTGACTTACCATCATTCCCTAATACCCTTTGTCTTACCTCACTATTACTTACCCGATGATCTAACAAATGAGAGCTATATTTCTAAGGCATCTGTGATCAGAAACTAGTAGCTTACGGCTATTTTCTACACTTAATGGCCGCATTTCGCAGTCGTAAAGCAGAACGAACTGCTGCGCAGTATACTCGACCCTTAATTGATAGACGGATATCTCGCCTTCGCCATAGGTGACGTAAATCGGCAAAAGCCAAACGAGCTTTCCGAATCCGTGCTGAGATTTCGTCAGACACCAACCCAGTAGGGCTGATCAGACTTCCAACATAAGTGAGGTTGTCAACGTGCTCGACTACTTCACTACCTATCCTTAGTTCAGGTGTTGACGCAGACCAGTCCTGAAGCAACAACTTGCATTTAGAGGGAGAGAAGCGCATCCCAAACACTCTGGCATTGTTGCTCGGAGCTACCAAAAAACTGAATTTTACAAGGGTCTTCACTAAACAGAACCATATCATCTGAGTATATATTTTACGTGTAAAACACAAAATTAAGCTATCGGTGTTTATTTGTCCTAATTTGATTTCCATATTCCCGAATTGTCATCAAAATGCGAATATTGTGTTCTGCATTACTAGAATAATTCTAATTTTAGATGTATCATTATCAAAACAACTTTAAAATTATAAGCCAAAAGGGATGAGGGTCTTTTGACAAAAAAGCAGTTGGCAATATGTACTCTATTTCATTGTCTTTAGCAGTTTTAGTTTTTTGTATGGTACACTTCCAATAGTTATTTTAGGAACTGACGATGTGAAGAGATTTCTCCTTTCAATGCTTGTTTTGACCAGGACGTCTAATTAGTGCAACAGTCTGTTTGTCCGCCTGCGAGATTCCAGTAAAATCAAGAGTTACTAGGTTTGGCAATGTTGAGAGAACCGTGTGAAAATAACCCTGCAGAAAAAAAAGCATTGAAGTGAATGAAAATTACTATGTAGGAGGTTGACAACACTAAGTTTTATCGGTTTCCAATAAAGGTTTTTCCACCACTATTGATTACTGCTAACATGATGCTCCGATCATAAAAAATGCTGCCAGTTTATTAATAATAATTCCCAAGTCGTACATCATATCACACACATACGAAGGAAATGTAGTTTGTCCTTCCTCATATACTTTTAAGAGGTCTATGTCTACATGTACTATCGTGTAATATTCAAACTAAAATGTCAATTTTTAGTGTTTGTACGATGCATGTGCTTTAGTGAACGAGTCCTCTGAGCATGAATCTCGTCACAGTATATATGATGCCAAAAAAGTTACCTCCACATTGTAACAAGTTTGTTGTGAATTTCTTCAAGATAAGCCTGCTTACTCTAATTCTCAAGAGTGAGAAAATCAGAACCCCTCTCAAATTACGGTACTTTTTAGTCCCCTCATTGCACACTTATGTAAGCCACTCACAACAAGAATTTGTACTACGAAATTCAAGAGCCTGCTTCGAACCCCTAGGTGCTTATAAAAGGCTATTTTTAGCCTAGAAAATGTATCATGATACCTGGCAAAAAGTCATGTAATTGGCTTGGTGATGTCGCAGTGAGAGCTGGGACGTATGTTTTTTTAAAAAATGGAACAACAGTAGCTGTCTCAGTGAACTGACATAAGGTATTACCTTCTCCTTCTCAATAGGGTTGCCATGTAATGTAAGTTTCGTGAGATTCGGTAGCTGCTTGAGTTTTATCACTTCCTGAAATGTTGCTATTTTATTCCCATGCAAATAGATGATTTTCAGGTGTTTAAGACTACTAAAAGACTGAGCTAAAATTGAGAGTAAAAGCAAACTACAATTTACATTTGGAATACTGGGTATGTTGTTACAAGATATGTCTAACCACGTTAAGCTGGACGTGTCTCGGAAAAGCTCATTAACCACAACAGGTAGTTTGGAAATGTCCTCTATTTGGTTGTTATTTATTTTCAGAGTCTGAGTAACCCATTTTCCATTTATATCCTTTTTAATGACTGAATTGCTACTAGGTGTTATTCTCGGACAACACACAGTTAAATCTGTTGAAACGTTTAAGTGTTACCGATATTTGTAATACCTGATACGTTTTTTATATTCA